TCCTTTTATGTAATTTTATATATTTCAAAAGCTACCAGCTACTTTTGCCAAACACTCATATAACAAATACAAGCTACAGCTTCCCGCTACCAACTACCCGCTACATGCTACCAGCTAACAACTATTTTTGCCAAACACACCCTTAAACAGTTAGATACATGTAAACAGAAAAGTAGAAAAAACAGAAAATGTCTTAGAAAACGATTTCTGAAAACAGATTCTACAAGTGTGAGGGAGAAAAAAATCATTTTTATAAGCACTGTAAGATGAAATATAAACATTTTTTTTTTCAAGTTCGTTTCGCACAAACGATTTTTTTTAAGACTGTTAGGAAAATATAACCAAAAAACTGTACAAAAGAACAAAACCCTAAAATTCTTGACTGAGGCCTGTGTTTAACACAATTTCCTTAAAACAAATTCGCCCTATATGGGTGTTTGTTTCCCAGGATACAACAGTAGAAAGCAATTCTTCTAGATTATCTGAACCCTCACTTGGCCCAGATTATACCTTGGTTGCAACAAGATAGAAAAGATGAAGAAGAAGCGTAAGAGAGGAAGAGGGTGATTTCGTTTTCATCCGGTGTATTGAATCAGTCACATAGGCGTTGTATATATACTACCCAATGTAACCAATGTAATTAAAACGAAATCGTAACTGTCACAAGAAATCAAAACCGAAATCTATGATTAATTGCTCTTGATTCGTTTTTGTAACTGTTAACCAAAAGGAAAAAAAAAATGCAAAAAAGGTCCTTGAACTTTTCTGGTCGATCGGTGGTGCATTCGTGCCTAAAGCCAATTTGGCTCGCATTTGCATCCCCCTGCGTGCGCACGCAAGTGAGAGCCTTGGTTCTAATAAGTCTTACAAAGGTAGTTAGTCTTTGTAGTTATAAACCAGTTTTCTTTTCATTCTCCCACCAATATGAGATGAGTTTTAAAACCCACTTAACTCATTTATTTTCTCTTCTAATTGCCCTACTTTGACAAGTAATTTTTCATTTATTTTTAATCCGTTTTGGACGTGTGATATATCAAAACGAAGATATCACGGAGGAGAACACGAATATATAAGCAATAACTCGTTTTGATTATATTTAGAGTCCAAAATTTGTGTTAAAAAATGGAGAAAATCCATTTTTGGAAATTAATAAAATTAATTTTCCAACACTACATGTGCCATCATCTTCTCAATATGTTAACATTTTCACTAAAAGTCTTCCATCACCTCTTTTTCTAGAGTTTCGATCCAGCTTGAACATCCAGGATTCCCCTCCCGTTTGCACTGCAGGGGGTATTAGCGGATCATTATTTATGTATTCTTGTATTATTGTCTAGTTTTGTAAATCCCATTTGTATTCGGGCTTATTCCTCTTGGATTATGTATATATACCATTTATGTGAATGAGAGAAGGTTACAGGAAAATTATTGGAATTTCATGGATTAGATTTCATTGTTTAGCGATTTCTAGGCTGATTAGTTTTCATGGTCTGACTACTAATCTTTTAATTCTAAAGACTATTAACGTCAGTAGTGAATAGGTGAATTATTTATCCCTAAAATTATTGTTTGGCTTGTATTATAAAAGACTTGGACTTTTATTAATTTCTATTATGTTGAAAATCCATTACACATGATTAGTCATCACATGCAAACTTACATATTAAAGTAATTACTTTACTATTTAACTCTAAGTTTTAATAAACACTAGTGTCTTAAAATTCATAAAACTATATAATTCAAGTAAACATAGATAGATTGATCAACAAAGCTCAAACATAATGAATAAACAACTCAATTCTTATTGAAATCAACACATAATCTAAGGGCTCATCTACTCTAAGGGAAAATAAAAGGTTTTTAGCCCATAATCATAGATAAAACATAAGTAAAAGTCATTTAAAATCTAATTGGCATGGTATGTAAAAGCAAACCGAACGATTTCACTTTGTACTAACAATTGCTTATTCCAAAACTCGCTTCAAACATGATCTTCGGTCTTCAAAATGTCTTTGAAAGCTCTCTGATCGTCCATGTTTGGATCCTTTTTTCGTATACATGTTATAGGTTAAGAGATATCCATATATAAAGTTTCCAATTATTTGCAAAAACATGTCACGACAATAGGTAACTCACGTCACCAATATATGTTTACCAGGTATCCACCAAATAATTGATAGCTCATCATTCCTCATGCAGCCGTGTTGATCAACGGATACACGTTCCAAAGGCAAGTAGCTCACATCACAGACTCTAGATTTCAACATTTTATTATTCTCTTTGATTTAGTCCAACAATCCAACATATCATTTTAACTCCTTTTTATCCAAAAGCATCCTCTCAGCTACAATACGAAATTTGAACATAATAAATATCAAATATCTCAATTCAAGATCAAAATACTAACATATCGCATAAGTTATACGTATAAAAATGGCGATATCACATGCCAAGAACGGACTTCTTCGAATGTAATAAAGAGACATAGTCTAGTTCCACGAATTATGCCCTTCTCGGCCATACAAAGGATATGAATTTTGTTAAGGTGGTAAGCAATTTATTTATTTATTTATTATTATTATTTTTTTTTTTTGGCTTTTGTGTATTGATGTTATCATTAATCAACCGAAGACTATAGTGTCATTTTTTGTAATTTTAGAACTTACATATTTATCGTTAATAAAAAGTAAAAACAGTGTCAAAGTCGTTGCATCTTTTATGGGTATTGACCTACGTTTCAATAAGACATCATATTATTAGAAAAAGAATAATTGATGAATTTAATCATGAAGATGAAATACGATTAGATGAAGATTCTTTTAGAGTTGGGTACTTTTTTGTTTTCATTGATATGAAAATTGCTTCATGAAATAATATATTTGAAGAATTGAAGAAATTAACAAATAGTCTTGGATTCTATTATGACTTAGAGAAATTGAAAACATCTGATGATACTTAATTAAAAAAAAAACAATAGTTTTGACTTTTGAAAAACAAATTTCACATAATACTCTCATGTAAGGTGGATTTAAATGTTTTTCTTTCATTTGTAAATGATTTTATCAAATCTAACCTAATAAATAAAGATCATTTGTTCATGTTTTAATAAACAGTCACGAAACAATTGTTTTTTCTTACACTGAAAGTAAAATAAGCGAGTGCTTTAGCATAGTTACCACATGAATCCTTAACTACTAGGCTTTATGAATTCAAAAAACGAATTCACTACTTGATTAATGTCTGTGCGATAATATTACTGTGAACAAAGTACAACCTTACATCAAACACCCAAAATCACTACCAATTTTCACATAGAATCACCATGGATATTGGATCAGTTCCTACCAAGTGGCAAAGATCTGCAAGAATACGTTTCTTTAAACTCAGATTTTCTTGAAGATGTGAAAATCGATGCATAAACTTCCTTATTCGCATGTGCAGGAGCACTATCCCCTGCTTTAAAACGTTTCCCATTCGCCTTTAAACCATTAACATCTTTCCCATTTGTTTCAATCTTACCTGAAACCTTCTGAGGACCCTTCAAATCAACAATCCCATGTTTAGTCCCACTCAACTTAACTCCATCATCACAAACACCTGTCTCTCCATTCTTCACTTTCTTCACTTTCTTCTCTCTTAACTTCATCTTCTCAATCTCCATCTTCTCTCTCAACAAAATCACCTCTTCTTCATTCCCATTGATCACAATCTTGTCAGATTCCGCAAAATCTTTATGACAGACATGACAAGTGGAGGATTTGACCTCTTTCAAAGCTTTAGAACTTAACACATGCCCACAACTCTTTAAAGCATAAAACTTGTACTTACCGTTGAACTCCATCCCTGTGATTGGACATTGAAACTTCACATCACCGCTGCTAGGAGAATCTGATCCAGGTATAGCAGCAAGCTCGACTGCTATCATGTCCTTCAAACCCTTTATATGAGAGAACGCTTTTGGCAATTTTTTCATTAGCAATGCCTCGACTAAAGGTTGTTTATTGAACAGATTTCCTAGATAATCAACTACAATAGGATGCTTCAAGGGCTCGTTTGATAACGCACAATTCAACCATTTTGATAGCCTCTGTTCATTCGGGTCACATTTATCAGGCTTCTTTTCGGCATACATGTTGAGATAACAGTCACGGGATTCCGCCCCCGTAGCACCGCCATCACCTCCGCCGCCAGAGAGACGAAATCGAAGGCTGAGCGTCGATAAACTTGTGACTCCGGAGTTTTCAACGGTGTCGGAATCTGAGAGAAGGCGGCCGTTCACGGTTAAGAAACTGGAGGATACAAGGGTTTGATGGATTGAGCTAATTTGGGAAAGGAAAGATAGTTTGAGGTTGCGGATGGTGAGATTAGGGGTTAGGGTTAGGGCACGAGTTGGGATTTGAAGATCTGGGGCTTGTATGAAGATTTCTAAGTTCTGGGTGTTGGAATTCATGATCAATTTCGAGGTTTTTGTGTTCTATATGCAATGAATTCGAAAGAAATTTCAGATTACTAATCGACAATAGTGATATTGAATGAGAATTTTGCGAGTTACCTGATCGACTGAAACCCTTCTCGTAATCCGATCACAATTGTTCTTTTACAAGGCAAATGGAACCTATAAACCGACATATAGTGCGAAAGTTTCATTTATACCCTTACATTATAGATACACTACAAAATGACCCCAAAGCTAATGTAAACGGTATCCACGCATCAATTGACATGAATATTAAGATATTGAACCCATAATTTAGTTTATGAACTAAAAAAAACGGTAATTTCTTTTTATCAAAAAGTATAAGAGTAATTTTCCCTTACTTCAATACTTTGATCAAAAGGACTTTATTATTAAAACAGTAATTTTCCACTTGGTTTCTTGGGCATCTTAGGGTGGAGGAAGAAATGGATTTCTGTTATGGAAATCCATAATCCTCATCCCTACCAAACCAAACACATTTTAGTACAAGTTTTCATGTATGAAAAATAACTAACCAAAGCTTGAGCTAAGAAATAATGAAACACCTTAGTTTATCCACTGAAGCATGAAAATATGTGGTACAACAAGAGAGGGAATGATGATCCAAGTGATATCCTCGGTACCTCCAACCCAAATCCCTCATGCCCCAACGACTCCATCCACCCTTATATGAACTATTTATCTATGTTGGAGAGGCGTCTAGACTAAAATAGATTTAGCACTTGTTAGTCGTTATAGACTTTTAAATTTAAACTTGTATTTGTGTATTATATTTTTTTTTTCTTGTAATTTGCATAAGCTTCTTATTTGTTAATGTTAATTAGGCATGTAAACTGGTTCGGAACCAGACCGAAATTGAAAAACCGAAAATCGAATAAACCGTAAACTAAGAACCGAATACTACTAACCGGTTCCAGCCGGATTCGATTCCGTTCGCTTTGGTTATACTAAGAAATATGTTATCTAAGAAGGTATTTAGAACCGGAACCAGAACCGAAAAACCGAAAACCGAATAAGCAGTAAACTAAGAACCTGACCGAATACCACTAAGTGGTTCGGTTTTTCGATTAAAAAGCTCATATCTAATGTTAATGGTATGCTCTGACAATTCACTACTTAGGTTGAGGAAGAACATCCCCAATTCAAGTTTAATGAAAGTTGAATGGAGGAGATAGAGGGTTGATGTGACATCGAATGAGGGTCCGAAGAACATTCACAATGCAAGTTTAATGAAAGTTGAATGAAGAAGATAGATGGATGGTGTGACATTGAATGAGAGTTGAATCAATTGTAAGTTGATGATCTAATAGTATAAAGTTCAATCTTGTATGGTTGAATTAAAGAATAAATCATCATTTGTAATTAAATGATAAAAAAATAGTATGATGATTTGACAATCCATTAAACTCTTATTAACGGAATGGATTATAAGAATTAAAAAATAAAGTTATATGAAAATTGAAATGTTGATTTCAAAATCCATTAAACTTTATAGAGTTGAATATATTATGGATGATTTAAAGTTCATTTTCAATTTTTAAACTCTCCAAAATATAATAGATTGTCATTTAACTTTCTACCGTGTATGCAACATTCCTTTCAATTCTCTATAGTTTATGCAAAATTTAACGGATAGATATATACACATCATATTTTTAACTAATTATAAATTGTTTTTATTCATACATCATTATATATATTTATCAAGGCTCGTGTTTATTCTCCACCGTAGATTAACATTTCATATGCATGAAGTCATTGTATCAATGAAAACAATCTCCCTATCTTTCAGTAAAGGCTCGAATATCTACCTCTGATCGCTTTACCTTATTCACATGGATTTGCATATTGGTGTTGTTAACTTGTTATTGTATAGATGAGTAAATGGCTAAATAATTGGGGGAAATTTCTTATTGGAGATTAATTTGGGGGCGAATGTGGAAAAGTGTACAAGACAATTGACAAGGTGCACTCCCTCCGCTTTTCCTATTACAATTTTACAATAAAACTTGGTTTAAAAGAGGAGTCTTTCGGAGGCATTTTCTCAAACACCTGGTGTGTGTTTCCTTTCTTCCTTTTAGTAACTCTGCTTCTATTCATGTCTGCATCTTGCTTTCTTCGACTTAGACCCGCTTCAGCAAATCGATCTTTCCCAAAACCATCTTCGTTTTTTCTAATTGAATGAGTTAGGTTTACATTTGGAATGTGGAACTTCAGAAGACAATTTGCGCGATCATTATTATTACTTTCGCATCACAATAATTCCAGTTCAAGAACTTTTCCTACTGTCATTTGCTCAACGCAATTTATCTATCAACATGTTAATCCGTCCATATCCTCTAATGGTTTTTCAATTAAACCGTATGGCTTTCCAATATTTTTCTCTTCCTCAACTTACACCCGTGTAGGAAATTCAGATTCTGATGAACCAGATGAAAAGGAGTTAGAAAATGATAGCGAGAGATTAGTTCCCTCCAAAGATTCTATCAAAAAAACTGAACTTGAAAGAGAAACTGGATTGATAATGGAGATAATCAAGCGACCTGGTCGAAGTTGTATTGCTTTGAGGAACAATCTTGAGAAATGTGGTGTGGCCACCTCGCCGGAGCTGGTGGTTGAAGTTCTTTCACAAGTTAGGAACGATTGGGAACTGGCGTATACATTCTTTCTTTGGGCTGGCAATCAGCCAGATTACGCACATTTTTTGCGCCAGTATCATTCCATGATCGGTATTCTGGGTAAAATGAGAAGATTCGATACTGCTTGGACATTGATTGATGAAATGAAGAGAGGTGGAAAGAATGGCGGAGAATCAATGGTGACTCCTCACACCTTATTGATCATGATCAGAAGGTATTGTGCTGTTCATGATGTGGGCAAGGCCATCAACACCTTTTATGCGTATAAACAGTTTAACTTCGAGGTTAATATTAATTCGTTTCAAGATCTTCTTTCTGCTCTTTGTCGATACAAAAACGTGAAAGAAGCTGAGAGTTTGATGCTCTGTAACAAAGACGTTTACCCATTAACAACCAAAAGCTTCAACATCATCCTCAACGGATGGTGTAACATCATCTGCAGTCCACGAGAAGGGAAGAGAATATGGTGGGAAATGAACAACAGAGGGATCCATCGTGATGTTATATCATATTCAACTATCATAACTTGCTTTTCAAAATCCAGTGAAACGAAAGAAGTAATCAAGATTTTTGATGAGTTGATAGCATCAGATATTAATCCCGATAGAAAGGTTTACAACGCTGTGATTCACTCTCTTGCAAAATCCGGGCTTGTAGTTAAAGCACGCAATCTGATGAAATCAATGGAAGAGAAAGGAATATCTCCAAATTCAATCACGTACAACTCCTTGATCATGCCTCTTTGTAAAGCACAACGATCTACAGATGCTCGTGAAGTGCTCGATGAAATGCTGCAAAGAGGATTGCTCCCTACAGTTCGAACATACCATGCTTTTTTCCAGGCATCAAGAACAGCTGAAGAAGCTCTTTTGATCTTGAAGAAGATGAATGTAATGGGATGTTGCCCGAATCATGACACTTATGCCATGTTGATTAGAAAGTTCAGTCGATGGGGGGAATTGGAAAATGTGTCGAAGATTTGGAATGAGATGATTAGCAATGGGCTGGATCCTGATCGGAGTTCTTATGTGGCCCGGATTCATGGGCTTTTTTTGAATGGGATGTTGGAGGAAGCTTATAAATATCATGTGGAAATGAAGGCTAAAGATTTATTACCTGAGCCTGAGATAGAAGAGAGGCTGGATGAATGGATGAAAATCAAATGTAGCAATTCATAATTACAACATGTTTGATGCTTTTGATTGAATCTATTTAATGGGTTGTTGTATACATGGATCTTGAGCTCTACCATTAGACCCTTTTATTTAATGAGTTGTTGTATACATGAAAATCTTCATTAAGTCTCTATATTCTTACCTTATTTACAAGTTTTTATAGTTAAAAATTGTTACATCCCTTTGATTTTTACATTGCGGTGATTCTTTAATGGATGAATCATACCAAGAAAGTGTACAATATTATGTTTACGATGACTACAAAGACAAAGACTTGAGGGATAATCTAATAGATGTTGAACTGGAAGACGATTTTAAAGCATATGCCAAGGACGATGGCAATGATGATTTCTTGAACACTTTTTATAATATAGAAGACAAAGCCTCATGTAAATTATATTAAAAAAAAACAAAAAATAAAAGTACAAACGTCAAGTGAAAAGACACTCGAAAAAACAAAAACTAAAGATAAGGGACATGCCATAAGCCAAACTCTAGAAACTAGGAACACAAAAGAAAGGGGAAAAATCCTATAATTAAAGACTAACTAAATATAGGGACAACATCATCCATGGTCACTAGAACGTAGTTATACAAGTCGTGACTGATGCTCAAACAATCTTCTTTCCAAGAATCAGATTCTATATACTTTGCCTTCTCACCTTAGTCTGGAAGGACCTCCTTAGCATCCTCTTCGCTAACCTCCAAGTTGTTTAGACAAGATGAATTTTCATTGCTATAAAGAACCTCAAATTTATTTGAAACGGTAGTCTTTTTTATGGGATGAAGATATCAACATCATTCCTAATGGTGCTGAGTATGAAAAGGACCATGATGATTATAACAAGGAACTTGATGAAGTAGAAAGAGACCATGAGAGTGATGAAGAACAAAGTGTCAGTGAAAATTCATTCGAAGGTTATCCTTTATCACCAACCAAAGAAGAAAATGAGAACATCTAGGTTGGACCTTGATGTTATCCATTTAACTAGAGGAAATGGAACCGTGAGAGATGAACTAGAGGTGGTGGTAGTAGATGTAACGCCCGCAGATCCGGGCTAGTCAATTTAGAGACAATAAGCATCAAAAATGAGTTTTTGATGGAAGATTATTTAGAAGGCTTAATCTTTTCTAAGTGGTTGTATATATTACAATGGTTCCGTACATATAAAGAACGCTGAAATCCGAGTTATAACGAAGAAGTTATGACCCGTCGAAGTTTTTCGGCAAAACCGGCACGGCACCGGGAGATGTAAATAGTGAATTTACGATGGAGGACTTTTTACCTTAGAAATCTAAACAAAAGTTGTAGTATACGTTAATCCGAGAACATAGAAAAAAAAGAACGCTCAAATCTGACTTCGTAGGAGGAAGTTATGAATTTTCTAAAATTTAGCATAGCAGTGCACGGCCCGAAACTCGAATTTTAGATCGAGCGGTTTTTGGCCTACGCGACCTAAATGAGA